TATATATATATATATATATATATATATATATGTGTGTGTGTGTGTGTGTGTGTGTATACCGGGTGTAACAGCAAAATTGTCCAAATCATGTAACTTCATGCGATAATTGTCCATCCCACAAAATGTTTAATATCTAAAAAAAACAAACAAACAAAAAAATAAATAAATAAAATAAAAACGCTAAATTGATTTCACTTTCTGAAAATTTTTAGATAAGAGGTTTAACAATCTTAATACAATTTTATCGTAATAATCACTAAAAAAACCTTTGGGTTATTCGGCTAGAAAGAGAACAGGTTAAAATAAAAAATAGGCACGGTTGAGTAATGGATAGCGGCTTGGATGTGAGGAATCAGAGAGCCGAGTTCGAATTCCAGTCGAATCCATTACATTCACTTACGTGCTAACACCCTTGGGAAAGGTGTGAATCCTCTCTCTTCTCCCTCCAGCTATGGGTAAATAGCAGGACAGACTGGGTTCTATAGCCTTGGATGGCAACTGGTCTAGGAGAAGGAAAACTGCTCTTAGAGGAGGGTGAATGGAGTCTTTCTGAGCCTTGGCTGGCAATCCATTAAGTGTTGGTGTCACGGTAAAAACACCCTTGATAGCCCTAGCGAAGCATCAAGAATTCAGCTATTTGACAAGATTATGAACTACACCAATCAAAGTATTGGTGAGTTCAATCTCGGCTGAGGCCGCAAGATGATGATGATGAAAATAGTTTTGTCTTCCCAAATGATCAATGGCGAGAGGAAAAAAGATCATTGAGGCCTTCAGTAATGGTACCAACATTCATACCTCGGCTTTCATCTTCAAATTCAATTCGAGAATCATGAAGAGAACGCTGAATAAGTTTAAAAAAACAGGGGACATTAGAGAGGAAAACTTGATCAGGAGGTCACAACAGGAAGAAGGATCATGATTTCAACTTTGACCTAAAGAGATCAATTAGAGATGATCCAATTCAATCCATGAGACGTCTGGCACGTGAGAGAAAAGCTTCAGTTAAGACGGTCCAAAGACTAGTGAATCGTAGGAGAAACGTGTGAGGCAAATTGTTACATCAGGACAGAAAGTTAGGATGTTAGAGAGCGAAGATCATTTTGAATAAGTTGAAAATGATCCTGGAATAATATATATATATATATATATATATATATATATATATATGGACTTTATTGCAATCCTTCATGAGCTTCCGATCTTTAGTTGTAATTAATTAATGATGAACATGTCATTTTCGTTTATGATCGATTTCATCACGATTGTTCTATTAAGCTTAGAGAGGAATTATACATCCTTATTGCTTAAAGTAGAGCCCAATAGTGTTATAAAAACCTCGGAGAATTCCAGTAAGGTATCTTTAATCATTTCTAAGATACAATATTTCAAAGCTTACTCTAACAAATGGACAATTTTGTTGTTACACGATTTGGACAATTTTGCTGTCACACCTAATATATATATAATACCTCATCTCATATATATATATATATATATATATATATATATATATATATATGAGATGAGGTATTATGTACACTATTTACATTATTCGGACTATTGTCCTCATCTTTGTCGTCATATTTATTACAACATTTCGGCCGTTGTACGCTCCGGCCTTCTTCAGGTGGTTGGAATGTCGAACTGAACCCTTTAATTCGCTCACTGGGGTAGACTGTTCTAGTCCCACGTGCCATTTAATCCCCCATCGATACATTTCCCACAAACTTGATTTTCCCCTGGTGCACCTCCTCCTCCTTCTCACCTTCTAAAACACCTCATCGCGTGTCCTTATTCATTCATTTATTTAAAAAATTCCTCAAAAAATATTTAAAAAATAAAAGCGTTAGAAATCAACTGATCAAAATCGCCTGAAGATACCAAAAGTAGCGAAATTGGCTGATTTCCTAATATATATATATATATATATATATATATATATATATATATATATATATAAAAGAAATATGTTGTAGTGGTTCCAACGAGAGAAAAGTATGTATATTAAAAAGAAGAGAAGAGAGGTGCCGCAAACATTTTTTTGGTTGTAACGTGGATTTATTTATATATTTTGTAATTTTGGTTGTAATGTGGATTTATTTATATATTTTTCTAAATAAATCCACATTACAACCAAAAACGTTTGCAACACCCTCTTCTCTTCTTTTTTTTATATATATATATATATATATATATATATATATATATATATATATATATATATATTAGAATATTATAGCGAAAAATGTAAAGATCGCTACACATTTATAGTTGTGTTTCAATGCATCTCACCAGGCGATTGTAAATTACTGGTAAGTGAACGATTTATTTAGATTTAAAAGCAAAGAGAAACCCCTTTTTACGAAAAAAGAAAACGGGGTTATAAGTTTTGTGGGCTTTACTCTGATCAACCAATCAAACATGATCTTCGTTAAATTTAAACTAAGCGAAGAAGCAGAAATTAAAAATTATTTTTTATAAATGGGTCTTGACCAGTAGATTGGCAGCTGACTGCAGCCAGGCATAAACTAAAGCAAATACATATAGTTACATAAATGATACAAACTAGACAATGCAGTTTCCTAAGAAATAAAAGAGGGAGGGGTGGAGGGGTAATTTAAAAAAATGCTAAACAAGTTATATGCTTTGTGAATCTTCTCCATAATTTTTTTGTAGTTGATAAATAAATAGTTTCTTTAAAAAACTAGTATTAGTTTAAATTTAACGTAGGTCATATTTGATTGGTTGATCAGAGTGAAGCCTAAAAATAAAGATAATTATTAACGCTCTGGTCTATATTGAGCAAGTTATTGATAGAAATTCTGTTAAATGTGATATATTGTACATTACTACGTATATTGTTTGATAGTATTTGTAATAATAGCAATCATTTTTATTATATTTTATTTTATTCTCTTCAAATATTTAACTAAAACGTCAGTCGCCATCTTGTTCTTCTAAAACCTGTTCCAATATTACCATCTCTTAACTTCTCCTCACTAAAGTCTTCTTTTTCTCTTTCACTACCTTTAATCATCTGCGCCCTTGTGGCATTATCACCTTGTTTTGGGTGAAATGATTAAAAATAAATTTATATATACAAATCAAAGGAAAACAGTTAAATGCATCACCTCATGCTTTTGAAGATGTACAGCACATGCTCCCATCTCATGCCAATCACAATTTAAACAACATTGATTTTCAGAAAATGAATGTTACTCGCTTACTTTTTGCCAGAATTTGAATAATGACAGCTTGCGTCTTTCACATGTTTAGACCTTTCAACTTTCTGATGAACCAATGACATATTCACTTTTGTATATATATATATCTGCAACAAAATAAGTGTTACATTGTCTTGATAATGTTCCTTAGAGTACGAAACACGTCGGCTAAGAATAATATTTCCGCTTGTTTCTCTTTATTCCCATATATATATATATATATATATATATATATATATATATATGTACACTGCGTGCCAAATTATTATTTTTTTCTAATATTTCAAAAACCGTTCAATCAATTCACACAAAATTTTCACCCATATTGGCAACACTGATCTGTGCAATCACTGAGATTTTTCTACTGATCTGCGCAATGTAAACAAACTGGCGCCATATTTGTTATCAGCACGGTGATATACGCTCCCAACATACGAACATTTCAAAGTGTTTAGGTGTCAATCTGAGGAGAATGCGGAAAAAATTGGATCAGTCTAATGGTGATTATGAAAGTATTTGGTGTTATCACTAGTGATGGCAATGTTGTACCCATATTCATCTTCCCACAGACTCAACATTGGAGGCCTATATTAAGTGCGTTGAGGAGGTAGTGCTGCTCTGAGTCAAGAGGGTAGCTGCTGGAAGACCCTATGTCTGTAGTGGATGCGCACTGCTGATGAGTCCCAAATATAGGACGAAACAGCCGTCCAGTGCTTTCTGTTGAGGTTTCTTCTAGACTCGATGAATTATTTAATTATGATATATATATATATATATATATATAGCCCCCACGACGTGGTGTAATGTTTAGGAAGCTTCTTTTGCTAGATGAATCATGACTTGTGCCACATCTAAGCTGGGCTTAGAAAATCACTATCTATATTTAGAGTGAGATAGTGTGATTTTTATTTTTTTTTTATTGATAACGCGTTTTGCATTCGTGACTTGAAGACGCCAGACTAATTTCTTAACGAAGGTGAAATGCTTTGTAAATAAAATGTTTTTTCACTTTGTCTCATTTCGCCACATTTGTTCGGATTCTACGTCCTACTAACACACGTGCGCGCGCACACACACACACACACACACACACACACATATATATATATATATATATATATATATATATATATATATATATATATATATATATATATGTAGATGTAATAATTTTAGTAATCTCATAAAGAGATACATATAATAAAAGTTCATACACGATGAGAAAAAAACTGAGAAACATAATAGACGGAATAAATAAATACATAGATACATAAATAAAATGACAGACATCTTTCCCAGAAAGAAAATCCGAAATGAAGACACATCAAAAAAAAAAAAGAAACAACAACGTATAAATGTTTATCCTAATTTCTCATTAAAATTTCGAAAGCGAACCACAATGGCTGACTGTCGTCTTTGACGTCATAGCGATAAAATCTCAGAATTGCCGACTTTCAAAAGCTGCTATGTTTGAAAATTTTGAAACAAATTAAAAAAAAAAAGAAATGTGGTTTTTATACATAACTCTGCGGAAAGAGGCTAAAGTGAATAAATGTTTTCTTTGAATTATTTGCGCAATAATCATATTTAAATTGAAAATGCATTTTTTTTGCAGCGTATAGATATAATGCAAAGCATTTCGCTGAATAATTTCAGGGAATAGACACGTTTTAAGTAAAACTGGTGTTACTTCATATTATTTTCTATTTATTTATCTATCTTATTTTCATTATTTCTTTTTCTTACTACTTTTAATTCCTTTTTCTTTCTTAGTATGTATATGATATCCTATCTATATATTTCATTCTATTCATATCTATCTATCTATCTATCTATCTATCTATCTATCTATATATCTATCTATCTATCTATCTATCTATCTATCTATCTATCTATATATATATATATATATAGAGAGAGAGAGAGAGAGAGAGTATTTTATTCCAAAGATATCAGCGATAAGTGGCAAAAAAAAATTGAAAGTAAAGTATAATTTATTTAAATGTACATAATTTCTTTGAAGAATAATGTTGGTAAACAATAACCGAAGTTGTTGAGCTTTATATATATATATATATATATATGAAGAAATATAGTTTTAAGGTGTGCTATATTTATGGGATAAAGTGCTCAATATCAAAGATAGAGCGTTTGTAAGTATAAAAGTGAACATTTGAAGTCAACATTCAGAGGCGACAGGCTGTTTAATGCGAGATGTAATCATCAGGCCTGATGATTCCATCTAGCATGAAAAGTCTATCACCTCTGAGTGTTGACTTCAATGTTCACTTTTTATATATATATATATATATATATATATATATATGTATATATAATTATTTTTTATAAAAAAAATTATAGCATTAGTATGTTATAAAAGCACTACAAAAATAGCCATTTTGTTTCAACACACTCTGTGTCTTATCAAGTGATGATGTTGAAAATAAAACCTATATATATATATATATATATGTGTGTGTGTGTGTGTGTGTGTGTGTATACAAGGTGTATCAAAAATACTTTAACAAACTTAGGTGGCAGGTTCCTCACACCAAAACAAGGTCAAAATTCTGCATATATATATATATGTCTACAAACCCATCGTTTTTGAGTTATTAAGATTAAAGATTACGATATGCGCTGTAAAATGTACAATCCAAAGTACAATCCCAGAATATTTTGGGGGCAGATTTCTAACTCCAAAGCAAGGTAAAATGTCCATATAAACATGTCAAAAAGGCCAACACAACAACTCATAAGAGTTGATATATATATATATATATATATATATATATATATATATATATATATATATATATATATATATATATATATATATATAAAAGTGAACATAAGTCAACACTTAGAGTGTATATATATATTTCACTCATGGAGTGTGAGGGAGGCCCTTTCAGAAATATCCAAAGCTGAATCTCTACGAACCAAACAAACGCACATTTTAAATGTTCAAGGCCATTTTCTAAATTTTGTGGTTTTGGCTTTTCTTGCCGGGTCACGTTCAACCATCGTAGCCTAGAAACAGGTTAGGTGAAAAATTTAAGGTGACAGGATGACAACAAAATAAAATATAACACAGTACACACCTCCGCCTTACCTGCTGCAAGCTAAAAGCATTTTTTAGAAACAATAAGTACATAGCTATCGTAATCTCAAGAGAAACCCGTCCTGGTTATGACGATAAACTACATCAGCGTCCTGGGTTAGACGATAAACTACGTCCAACAGCAAGGCCTCTGATCAGGAGGTTTTGAGGAGCGTGGAACTGCCTCTTAATTGCTGGTGTTCCCAGGTCTACCCTGACCCGGGGTGGTAGCACCTGTTAGGGTCCCAACTATGGGTAAATAGTTAACACCCAAACTTGTGTAAAAATAGGTTTTAATACCAGAAATACTTTGTAACAAAAAAATTATTACCAGCAATATTTTTTGAAGGAAAAATTATTATCAGCAATACTTTAAAAAAACTATCAGTAATACAAACAGCTATACATTCTTTGAAAAAAACAATTGGAGAATGGAACTCAGAATACAAAATAGTGCGACCAAAATATTATCAAGTGAGTAATTTAAAAAAGAAAAAAATCTTTTTACGAAAATAAAAACATCCAAGATTGTAAATTTCCTAAAAGAAGTTGGATTGTACTCAAAAATATGAATAATTGAAAAATGGTTCAAATATATATGTATACATACACACTTTTTTTTTTTTTTTTTACCAAACTATCGCTCTGAATCGATTTCAAAATTTTGTTGGCATTAAATGACCCACTGAGGTTTTGATATGCCATAAAACAAAACAACCAACCAACGAACCAACACAAGAGAAAGACGCTGACAAACAACGACGTTCAGATAGCAAACTTTCGACTTTTTATTATTGTATGTCAGGCGTAATAGACCTACTAATCTCTTCCCAAATCCTATACCAGAAACATATTTGAATTAGCTCGTCATTTTGCAGATGTTCTCTTTACGAAATTATACCTCAAATATTATTGTCCGGGAAATTCCTTTGAATATAGAAGTTCATTTTTGAGGTGGAGAAAAGATTGTATAGCTCTGTTCATTTCACAAAACCGAAAAAAAAAATACTCATTACGTGATGGTAATTTCTTAACGAGAGTGTAGGTAGCGTTGCGGTTATCGTCACGAAATAATGGACTAGACGAACCGAGTTCAAATCCTTTTCGGGCACTTTTCACAAATGCCTTTTCCAAAGGCATGAATCCATATTTTTTCCAGCTATGGGCTAAATTGCAGGGTAGATTGAGCTCTCTTGCCGTGGACAGTTTCCAATCTAGCGGGAGGATAACTCCGAATTCCTAACTCTCGTAAATAATAGGGCAGACCAGGCTTTGCAGTCTTGACAGGGTAAACTGTCAAGGAGAAGAACAAATCTGAATTAAAAATCAACGCACAGAAGAATGGGCTTCGTCAGGTTATCTTGTCATATATATAAAAATTGCTGTTACAGATGCAGAATATATGGTGTCTTAGATATAGGCATTTTCCAGGCGTAACTTAGATGTTAGACCGAAAGTAAGGGGCACCCAGTGAGGATCGAACTCACTACTCAGTCGTAATTGTTCTAGCGAGACAGACTTGCTAACCATTTCACCGCCTCGATATGGCTTGGATCATGGGATATATGATGAGCAGGATATGTTAGTCTCAAATTATGTCATTGCAAGATTTCATCATGGTCATGCATTTCTTTGAATTGTTTTATTATTTTAAATTAGCGGAAGATGCTTTTCAAAAGCTAAGCAAAGTATTAAAAAACAGGAAAACTTCGTTCGAAACAAAGAAGAGAGTGCTGAACTCTTATGCAATATCAATCCTCTTGTATGGCAGTGAATGTTGGACAATCTCCTCAAAGATGAAGAGAAAACTGGAAGCAACAGAAATGTAGTTCTACAGAAGGACGCTGAGAATTTCGTGAACGGAGAACTTAAGATATGAAAAAGTCATAATGAAAAGGGAAACAAAAAGAACACTCATAAGCAGAATCAGAGAGACTCATCTGAAATATTTTGAAAACATTATGAGGAAAGATGGCTTGGATAATTTGACACCCTCAGGACATTTCGAGGACAAGAGAGATCCAGGACATTCTTCACTATCTCAATCGCAACAGGAATCTAGAGGGGAAAAGTTAATTTTTCTGTGTTTAATACATTGGCAAGCGAATTATTACGAAACGCTAAAATGAACAATTAGTTTGTCTCAATGATGCATTGGAAGAGAAAATACCTTTCACTGAAGTCAGCATTTCGAATACTGATTTTCAAGGTAAGAAAGCAGGTTCTTCACACTTGTACTATTGGCGCAACACAATCTTTCGACTCTTATTTCGCGCTCACGTACTGTACTAAAGTCAGATTTTATATGTAGATATGCAAATGAATCGGTTATAGTTGCGTTTAGTTTCTACCAAATTTTCGAATGCTGATTTTCAAGGCAGGTAGAATTTTCCTGGTTGTAGAAACGGGACAACATTATCTTCGAGCAATGTTAGCATATCGTACGATGTTAAGTATAGGTAATATCAACGTAATGACATTAGTCAAAATGGCCTTGTTTTGTTTTGCAGAGAGAAGCTACTAATAAATCGGTCGTCACTCGGCACAGATGTAGAAGACAAGATAACACAGCACATCAACACAACAAGGAGAAAACGTATCTCAAGGTTAAAATTTGCAAAGCGCGCACAGACAAATATTTCAGATTAAAAGAAATAAATGAGAAAATCCTCCCGAGAGACAAGACAAAACCTTACAAATAACTAAATAAAAATGTAAAAGTAAATAAATAAATAAAATATCTTGAAAAGACAATAATGCGACACCTGCAAAGACCTTGACATGAAACAGGGGAGACAACTGCATGTGAAACTTGGAATTTAGCCGAACTATTTTGTCATCGTTAACTGTTCAATGTCATTTGGATTAACAAGGATTACTTGTGACCTGTTTTTTTTATTTCTTTATTTCTGTCTTTCTTCTCAGTCGCCCCATTTCCTTTTCGATCGTTCGCTCGTCCGCCATTTTCTTTTCCCACTTTTTTTTTCTTTGTTTTATGCATTTCTTAATTTGTTTTGCTCTTTCTTAAGAACTTTATATCCAGATGTTACATTTTTTTCGTGCCTTTTACGTTCCGATGTCTTAATTCTATGACTGCTTCTGCTTGTTACCGCTTTAATCGACGTTTTGTAATTCGTCTCTTGAATTTTTTTCTCTTCTTTCTTTCTAGCATAAGATTATCTTTCACCGAAACTGCGTCTATTCTTTGACGTTCTTCTCTTTTCTTCTTCTTCATGAATCTTCTTTTTTCATTATGTCAATGCTTTTCTTCTTCTAATGTTTAGTACTTTCATTCTTTATCTTTCATTCATGGATTCTAATTTATCTTTTTCTTTATTTTTCAATGAAATCTTGTCTTTTTCTTGCTCTTTGAATGTTTCGTGTCAATTCTTTTTCGTCTCTTATCTGATCTCAGATTTTTCTTTATTGTTCTTCTTCGCTCCCTTCTTCTTTTTGTCTTCCTCTTCTTCTCTCCCTTCTTCTTCTCTTACTTTTTCCTTCTCTTCTTCTTCTTTTTTCTTCTTCTTTTTTCTTCTTCTCTTCTTCTTCTCTTCATTTTTCCTTCTCTTCTTTTTTCTTCTCTTCTTTTTTCTTCTTCTTCTTCTCTTTCTTTTTCTTTCTCTTCTTCTTCTCTTCCCTTTTCTTCTTCTTCTCTCCCTCCTTTTCTTCTTTCTTTTTCTTTTCTTCTCTTCCTCCTTCTTCTCTTCTATTTCTTCTTCTCCTCTTCTTTCATCTTCTCTTCTTCTAATGCCTTGTATCTTTATTCCTGTTCTCTCTTTTTAGGCACTACGGCCATATTATGTTGAGACACCGGTTCCCGTGCAATCACCGAAGTTAAGCAACATCGAGCCTGGTCAGTGCCTCGATTGGTGACTGCTTGGGAGTACCAGTTGCTGTAAATGTGGATGTGCGGTTGGTGTAGCGGATAACGACACTGAATAGTTAATCGGAGTGCCGATTTCAAATTCCCGTTGGGTTCGTTATATTCACTTACGCGCAAAATCCCCTTGGGAAAGGCATGACTCCATTTCTTCTCCCCAGTTATTGTTAATTAGTAAAACTCGTATCACTAAACCATTATTATCTCTACACCCGCAAAAAATCTTACAATCTAAAATATATTCTGGCTTTAAATAACCTAAAAAGCCGTAGAAAATGAATCACTCTTCTAATATCCTGTATTTTGATTCTTTTTCTCCTTTTATATAATCTCTTCTACCCTTTGGATTTTTTTTTCTCAATGATTTTACATTTACATTAGAGAATATCTTGTATGAATAAAGACAAACGGAAAACTGGTTTTAGCCGACGCGATACGTCCTCTGATGGAATTTATCAATGCAAATGCAAGGATTTTAATGTCTAACAAGTATTTATAGACAAGAGAAAAAAAGTTTGTTAGTTTTTCAAGATTATTAAATGTAAGAAACGCTAATAAATATTCCTTAGCTTAACTGAAATGTCTTGGTAAGTTATGGAGGACGTTAAGTGACATAATTTAATCTTACTTATAAAACGCAGATTGTGTGTGTGTGTGTGTGTCGGTACGATTATATTTTGGATCGGATTTCCTACATTTTTCAACCGATTTCAACAAAACTTCACAGGATTGCGTAAAATTACCTTGCGGTGGTTCTGACAGCGCCAAAAATTGGAAAAACACAATTGTTTTTGCACAAAATCAATTTGAAAACACGATAAAACACGATTCTGTCGCGAGAATGAAAGGGGACAACTCATATCGAGTTATACTTATTATAAACCCAGGTGTGTGTTGTGTGTGTGTGTGTGTGTGTGTTCGTTTATATATGGAATCGGATTTCCTACATTTTTCAACCGATTTCAACAAAACTTCACTTTTTTTGGCAGGTATTGTTTCTTATTGTCTTGCACACTTTTTTTCTTTATTTTTACATTCAGAATGCTTTTAAAATTCCATTTACAAGACAATTGTTTATAATAAAATTCTATTCAATCGATAGACTCATAACGATTGAAAACAATGTTTTTGTTTGAGTTTGGGTTTGACGAATTCGTAAAAAAAAACAAAACAAAACAAAAAAAAACTAATTAAGACATGCGTGTCCGTCAACCTTAAACAATAATCTTTGTCAATTTTATTTTTCAGTCTTCATGATGGTCGATACTTGATCTATCTCTTACTTTTACATCCCGGGGCAATGCCGGGCTCTACTGATAGTATCTCATAGAACGAAAGTGAGTAAAAGATGTTCTTGACATTTTTAAGCAAATTTTAGTTTATGATTAGTTCACAAGGTTATGAACCGACTTTTAATTTTTCAACATTTTTCTAATCATGTACAGTGCTGTTCGATAAAAGTGACTCACCTGATTTTTTTACTAAATGTTCTTTTCTCCGATGAAACGAAAGTTGAGCTAGATTCAAAGGATAAGCGATCTAAAATCCGAAGAAGAAGCTTTGAAAGCTCTTTGAATTTAGCAATAAGTACTGTCAAGCATCCGTTCATTATAATGTTCTGGGGATGCTTTTCTTTTCATGGAACTGGTTTCTTAAAACCTATTGAAAAGCCCCTCAGGAGCGAGCAGTACAAGAGAATTTTAGAGTCTTGTCTGATCCCTTCTGCTGAAAGGGTTCAAATCGACCCCACCAAGCTTATTTTTATGCAGGATAATGTTCCCTGTCACAAATCAAAATTGATGAAGGAATACTTTGATGAGATGCAGGTGTATGTTATGACATGGCCGCCCCAATCTCCTGACCTCAACCCCATAGAAAACTTCTGGGGGATTATAAAGTACAGGCTCTCGAGAAAGCAGTTGAGCAACATGTCTAACGTTCTTGGAATGCTTCTAGTAGAAGATGTAACAAAACCAAACTATTAACCTAAGAACTCGAGCCGCGTTCTTTTAATAGTCTCGTCATATCTACGCCCTCATGGATGTCATATAGTTTTATAAATTTCAAACTATCATCTATATACAACCATTTTCGCAGATTACTGATTAAAAATGGATGCAAGCTAATTAATCATTTAGGCCAGGCATGGGCAACGTTTTTTAAGGTAATCTTTCGTAGTAGGTCCCTAAGATATTTTCACTACGGAAGACCCTTTTTGTTTTTATAACAGCTTGTGATGTTGGGAGATACAAGGTGTTGTACAGGTCCAGACGCACCCACTCAACATCCCCTCCCGGATTTAGTAGTGTTGTGGAGTATTTTCACAGTGGAGGCTTGTATTTCTAATAAGTTGTACAAGACGTTAGGAACTTGGGAAAACAATAGTCAATGACGCAGCAAATCTAGTTGTGATGGTTGGTACTTCAAATGTCCGAATCTCGACTGACGTTCTCAACACCGTTCGGTATTTATCATTTCACCCACGAGAAACGAATATGGCACAAGGCCGGTTTTATTGTGGGTTTCTCCGAGCCCGTAGGCTCGGCGAAAAAAAATTAGATTAGTCAGGTTCCTCTCTGCTAATGCAGAGTTCGACAGAAGGTGTGCGCAGTCAGAGACTTTTCATTCCACCCAGGCCCAAGGCCGGTCTACCTCCCTGGACGAAGCCGATTAGACGGGTTTCAGGCCTTCGGACGAAAGCCTCGTCCGGGTTCCTCTCTAACGCAGCTAATGCACAGTATTATCTTTTTCACCCAGGTTTATTTATCTTCGACATGGAAGGTGTGCACAGTCAGCCGATTAAACGGGTTCAGGAGAGCCTCGTCCTTCTCAACACCGTTCGGTATTTATCTTTCACCGTTCCGCCAGCTAACGCAGAAAGTTCGACAGAAGGTTGCGCACTCAACACCGTTCGGTATTTATCTTTCACCACGGAAAGAATTGGCACAAAGGCCGGTTTTTATCTATCCCCGAGGAGAGTCCATTACCGATTAAAGAATAGGTACTATGGCACAACAAGTAGCAAGGTGGGTCGCCAGAAAGTTCGACAGAAGGTGTGAACACCGTTGGTGATACTCCTTCAATTATCAAAAAAGTATGCACAACAATCTGCATTACCCTGGCTCGTGTTGCGTTCTGTGTCCTCACTCGGTTTCTGTCCTACCGGTCCCAACGCCACTACATAGACTAGGCATGAGCAACCTTTTTCGAGTAATGGGCCACATGATCTATGCCCCCTCCCACAAGACCAGTCGCACTACTAAATAGTTTCAAGGTAGTAGTAATTTCGTAGTAGGTCCCTAAGCTATTAGCACTTCAGAAGACCATATCAGTTCAGTTATTTGCTAAGCGTGATACACGCTTAAGCGATCATGTATCTTTCGATACATGGCTGATAAGGCAGATATTTTCCCGCAGTAGGTTGCCAATTCTTTCTGCAGTAGACCAATTGCCATCCAAGGCTATAGAACCCGGTCTGTTCTGCTATTTACCCATAGCTAGGGGGGGAGGATTCATACCTTTCTCAAGTGTATTAGCACGTAAGCAAATGTAATGGATTCGTCTGGAATTCGAACTCGGCTCTCCGATTCCTCAATCCGAGCCGCTATCCATTACTCCACCGAAGGCCATATGCGTAAGCATATACTGTAGAAATGCTGGCGGGGAATTTATTTAATTATATTTTTGGAGAGAAAAAAATCTTAAAAAATTGAAGTCTTGGTACAATATTATCACTGACGTCAGTGTAATTCACAAATATCGTTTGTGTGATTTATTTCTAATTTTTTTGAAAAAAAAAAGTATATTTCGTCTCCAGAGAAAAAAAGTATTATGAATATTTCCTGTTTCAAAAAGCAAAATATGTTTACACTTATGATCTTCCTTAGTGAAAATCGCCAATGGTTTAAAATGCTGACAACGTGAGTTTTTCCGAAAGTTTACAAAATTCAAGAAACGTTGTACTAAATCGCTGTTTATGTATGCAGTTATGTATGAGAGAGTATGTGAGTGAACAAGTGAGAACGAAACCAAAGAATCTTTTTTAAGAAGCGTTACGGTTGAGTAATGGATAACAGCTCGGAGAGCTGACTTTGAATTCCGTCAATATATTTTTTATATATATATATATATATATATATATATATATATATATTTTTTTATATATATATATATATATATATATATATATATATATATTACCAGCAATACATTTTTAAAATGAAATTGCTGCAATACATTTTGGAAAAATATTACCAGCAATAAAAATCTTGTCGACTTTAAATAACCCATTGAGGTTGATAAACCGTAAAACAAACCAAACCAAATTGTTATCTTCCTCGCCCCCATCTCCATATAAACTGCGTCTCAAAGTAACCGTCTAGGATTCACGAGTAATGGATAGCGGCTCGGATTGAGGAATCGGAGAGCCGAGTTCGAATTCCAATCAAATCCATTACATTGCTAATACCCCTTTTCCCCCCACCAGCTATGGATAAATAGCAGGACAGATCGGGTTCTATATCTTTGGATAGCAACTGGTCTACCGCAGAAAGAAATAGCAACCTACTGCTAGAAAAAAAAATATGCCTCGTCAGTCATGTATCGAAAGATACATGATCGCCTAAGCGTCTATCACGCATGGCACATAATTGACTGATTAATACTAGAAAGAGCGATATTAGTGGACTTTAGAAACAGATTTTCCTCAAGAAATCTTTTAAGAGGAAGATTTTTATAAATTTCAACCGATAGTAAAGTGATCTAGTGAATTTCGCATGTATTTTTTTTTAAGCGTTTCACCCCAAGCAAGGCAGAAAGCCACTAGGACGCAAGGGGGTTACAGAAAATTTGGAGCAAGATCAGATAGGAGTGATAGAAGAAAGGATGAGGAGAAGAGTAGTGGATAGATCAAGGCAACTGGAGATACATAGGCCAGTGAGAGAGAGAGAGAGAGAGAGAGAGAGAGAGAGAGAGAGAGAGAGAGAGAGAGAGTGAGTATTGAAACCCTTCCTAAACAAGAAACAAGGCGTAAGCCTCTACTCATGTCCAAGAGAAGCGGGAGGAGTGTTGACCGGGCGGTAGGAAAGCCTACCTACTCCTATTACATATAACACATACAACAACAACAACAACAACAAAAACAGACGTAACGATGAGAGGGGGAGGTAATTTGCAAAGAGTCCTGGCTGACACTTGCATTTACTCTTTTACAACATTAAGTTTTAAGTTTTAACTTATTATAAGTCCTATTGTCTATTCTAAAAAGAAATTGAAGAAAATAAGGTTATCCGGATTTAATGCCATGTCATAATAAATGCCCCAACATACGTGGCAGCGAGTGTTAGTCCGCTTTCTTCGCCATGATAACAAGTGAATGTACAGCTTACCTTAAGTCCAAGCATCGACCTGGTGGTGGTGGTGGTGGGGGGATCAACGGCCAATCCACCGCCCTCACCAAATAGTGGGCTTGGGAGGCATGCTTTCAATAAAAATTAAAAACAACAGGAGAAAGAATGGTGGTGAAAACAATTCCAAGTTCAGAAATTTTATCAAGCAAGAATAGTCGGCCACTAAATCATGAGAATACTGACGAGACACTTTCGCATCTAGCCAAAGACATTCAATTTTCCCTTTTTTCTGGTTTTTCTGTATGGACATCGCTAATTTCTGCGCAGAAGAAAACGGATTTTATTCTTACTGCGCATATATAATGCCATCATTTAGTAAATAATTCTTTATTTTCCAATAAGTATTCTATTTTGTATTTTGATAAAAAATGAAGTAGCTTTTAAAGCGAGACGATATGCGTGTATTTACATACATACACATACGCACACATATACGTGCGTATGCATTTAATAGTGAAAATATATATAAATATATATTTATATATCAATGACAATATAAATACTAGTATACATACTGAGGTTAATCCGTTGTCGTATCTACCCCATTCCGTATTATCGAGCGTCCTGTGTACAACGATAAACTACATCCGGCAGCAAGGCCTTTGATTAGGAGGTTTGAGGAGCATGGAACCAAATCTTAATTGCTGGTATTCCCAGGTCTACCCTGACCCGGGGTGGTAGGGTCTCAACTATAAACAAATACTTAACCTCCCAAAATGGATCAAAACACAATAAAAGTATAAAAATAGGATTTATTATCAGCAATTCTTTTTTTGGAGAAATTATTACCAGCAATAGATTTTTGAAGAAAAAATTATTACCAGCAGTACATTTCTGGAAAAATATTACCAACAATATATTTTTAAAAAAATATTATCAACAATACATTTTTTTTTAAATATTACCAACAATACATTTTTTAAAAAATATTACCAACAATACATTTTTTTAAAATATTACCAACAATACATTTTTTTTTTAAAGATATTACCAACAATACATTTTTTTTAAAAATATTACCAACAATACATTTTTTTAAAAATATTACCAACAATACATTTTTTCAAAATATTACCAACAATATATTTAAAAAAAAAATATTACCCGCAATAAAAATTTCGTCGTGATATATGAAGAAATAAAGAAGAAAGAAAAATAAAGAAACAGAAAATAAAATAAAAAATGGAAGACAAAGAGAAAAAGAAGTATGACAGAGAAAAGAAAGAAAGAAAAAAGAAAGAAAGAGAGAGAGAAAGAAAATTTAATCCCCATAGGGGAGAAGGGATAAAAGGAAAAAAGGTGAAATGATAGGCAGAATATATAACGCATTATGTTGGATATGCCGTAAAACAGACCAAAACCAAATCAAACCTTATTATCGATATTTACGAAAGTAAGCGACAATTTTTAAGGGACACAAGGTTGTGTGGGAATATTTATTTGAAGATTTTTTTTCCAAAGAGCCTTAATATAGGTATTCAAAATCGTGAGTTTTCACTAGTTTAGAACAGCCCAGACCCAGGACCTCGTTGAAAGAAGAAAAGGCAACAATTTTAACCACTAGGCTTGTCACGCCCCATTATTTTCTTTCTTTCTTTCTTTCTTTCTTTCTTTCTTTCTTTCTTTCTTTTCACACTTTAAATGCCGCGTTCGGCGGAGGAGGCGAGAGTTCATCAAAAAATCGAAAATTGCTTTTTTTTTTCACTGCAAATAATTTATTATATCATATTCAAGTATTTTACAAAAAATTAGAACCGATTACACAATATTTCAAGCTTGATTTAAGTTTATAGTTCGTAACCCTGGAATGAGATGAGGTAACATAAACCGTAGATTTGTCTGCGGCATATCATTACATTATTGTTACAGAATTATAGTATAGCTTGTGAAAAGCATTTTATTTTTGGTCGTAAATTTAAAATTTTCCTTTTTACAAGCTTTATTTTTAAAATGGAATAAGAAAGATCCACCTAAATTTCAGAATTTCGCTATTTCCCATCAAAATGACTGAAAGAAAGCGATCTAAAAACAACAATGGAAAAGAGAGGTAACAAAGCATAAACGAAATACCTCCAGGTTTTTGTTCAACTTAAGAAACTTAGCATTGCAACCAAAGTATTCTAAAATACTGCCAATAACCAAAGAAGAAAATGAAAAATACCTAACAATAAATCGAATATAGCATCAAAATTTATATTTTTATTTATTTGTTATGTAACTAAATACATAATTGTCAAAAATGTTTACTTAAAACTTGATTTTTCCTGTAATAAATTCTTAATAAATATTATTATTGCTATTATATTACTTAAGTGTAAAGTAGTTCTATATTTACAATTCCTTACGGCTAATCATGAAAAGAAATGTTGATCCAAACTGCCTAAAACCTTTAAGCGCTTATTGACGCAAAATTATCAAATGTTGAATACGCCCAACCCCGCCGAACGCGTCAAATTATTCGCTGCGTTAATTTTGCTTACTTGCTTCTTTCTTCTCTCCTATCTTGACGTTAATCTTTCTTTTCCTTTCTCTCTTCTTTCCTGTCGTCATTGAAGATCGTTTCTCTTTTCTTTTTTTATTCTTTCTTTTCTTTTTTTTTGCTTTCTTAGTTTCTCTCCTTCTATTTCCCATTATACCTTCTCTTTCTTCTATTTTTACTTTTTTTCTTTTTTCCTTTTGCCAGCAACAATCGTTTCTCTTTTCCTTATTCTTTCTTTCTTTCTTTCTTTCTTTCTTTCTTTCTTTCTTTCTTTCTTTCTTTCTTTTTCTCATTCAACTTTCGCTTTCTACTCATTTTCCTTTCTGTCTTCTTTCATATCAGCGCTGGATGTGCGGATCGTGTAATGAATAACGTCACGCATTTGTTAATCGGTGACCCGAGTTCCAATTCTAGTTGGGTTCGTTACTTACGCGCAAATACCATTGGGAAAGGCATAAATCCACCTCTTTCCCCTCAGTTATGGGTTAAATGGTAAGATTTGTATAATTAATATCACAAAAATATCTTACAATCTAAAATTATTTTCTGCTTTTAAATAACCTGCAAAAGGTTGAAAAAGCCATAGAACACGAATTAATCAATTTTTTTTTTACATCTGTTTATCTTAATTCTTTCTACATCTTTTTTTTTCTCTTTTTGCTTTTATTATCTCTTTTTTTTTCCCCATTCTACTTTCGGCTTCTTTTTCTTTTTTCTCTTCTTTCTCATCATCATCAAACATTATTTTTCGTTTCTTTATTAGTTTTTAAATCTTTCTTTTTCCTTTTCTCATTTTCTTTTCTTTTTTTTCTTTCTACCTTAACTTTTTTCCCTTTTACTTTCTCTCTTCTTTCCTATTGTTGTTAACTCCTGTTTCTCATTTCTTTGTACTTTTTTCCTCTTTTATTGCTACTTTTCTCATTTTACTCCCTCTTTTCTTATTCTGCCTATACTTTCATCTCTCTCCCTTTCTCCCTTCTTTCCTATGGGGATTAATTTTCGTTTCTCATTTCTTTCTTTCTTTCTTTCTTTCTTTCTTTCTTTCTTTCTTTCTTTTCCCTGGTCTTCTTCTTTTTCGCTTTGTCTTCCATTTTTCTTTTAGCTGTTTCTTTATTTTTCTTTCTTCTTTATTTCTTCATATATTCTTCTTTTCTGGTGATTGAATTTTTTTATTTTTTATTTTGTTCCTTATTTTTTCTTTTGCTTATTTACCTTTTTATTTTTCTTTCTTCTTGCAGACATTCTTTTATCTTTCTCTACCTTTTCTTTCTTTCTTTCTTTCTTTCTTTCTTCTGCTATGCTTTCCTTTCATTGTGTTTTCTATTTTCTTTTGTCTTAGTTTCTTTATCTTTCTTCATATAATCTTCTTTTCTGCTGTTATGTTTTTCTTTCGTTTTGTCGTTCATTTTTTTCTTTTGCCTTTTTGCACTTATCTTTAATTTTCTTTCTTCCTTCCTGGAGACATTATGTTCTTTTTGCTTACAATTTTCTTTCTCTCTTTCTTTCTTTTTTTCTTTCTTTCTTTCTTTCTTTCTTTCTTTCTTTCTTTCTTTCTTCTAGCATGCTTTTCTTTCGTTTGTCTTCTATTTTTTCTTTTGTCGTATTTTCTTTATTTTTCTTTTTTTCTTCCGATATAATTTCTTTCTTTTTTCTTCTGACATGCTTTTTCTTTCGTTTTCTCTTTTATTTTTCTTTCTTTCTTTCTTTTTGATCTTACCCATTTTCTTCCTCCCCCCCCCATACCTCCCTCTATGCGTTCTTTAGCCATACGCCCCATTCGTCTTTTTATCATTGATCCACAGCTGTGTTACTTCCTGGCAAAAGATGGCAGAAAAATACGAAGAATTTATCCAATTCTTTTGAACTGACCCTGTAAAATTTGCCGCCACTGCTTCCCCTTCCACGCCCACTCGAAGGTCGTTTTTATGTATCGACCTTTTTTTTTTTCTCTCTCTCCAAATGTTTCCTTTTACACGCCTTTTCTTCATGGCCAAACCTCCACTACCCTCATCGAGCCTCATCACCTTTTGTTGATACCATCGGCACATGGGACACCTACCATTACTCAATGGTAATAAGCTCTCCTCAAGCAGCTAAACCAGTAGTGCAGCGCTTTCGATCCCCACTGGGTGCTACGATATGGAAATATTGTTCTGGAATTAGTTAAGCACGATAAACCTTTAGAGTGCCTACCATAGTGCGATAGTCGACATTTACTCATACTGTCTATTTTGCTATGTAGCGAGGAGTAACCACAACGAGTGTCCAATCTAGGATGATCCTTTACCGACTTAAAACGTGATAAATAACTTTTAGTTTGCCAACTGCAGGGCATGTATGACCGTTTAAAAATGGCTTCAAATGAATGAATCCTCTCGGTCTTAAATAAGACGATTCTTTCAGCTCTTATAGATTGGCGCTACATAAACAGAAAGAAAAAAAAACAAAAACAAAACATTGAAGACTTCCAGTAGCGGCAACGAAGTAAATGGATAGCACGTGTATCTACTACTACTACTACTGTACTGATGCAGCATTCACCCTGGGCGGATTGAGCCGGCTTCTTCCTGTTATGAGAAGAAGATTCTTGGGATAAATTACAGAAGTAGGGTACCCAGGCCTACTCGGATAACGTTCTTGCTTGCCGCGGGGTTCCCAAAGACGCAGAGACAGGAACGACCAGAAGCCGCCGGTTACCGATGCAGACGCTCCTTGGATTTTCACCAGAGCCCTTGTTAGCCGGCGTGTGTGTCAGACCTGTCCGCCTTGGGTGGCCCTACCAGGAACGAAGTTCCGGGCGGCATAGCTCTGACACTACCGTTTACACGCCCCCACCGACTGTGAGGTAAGGGTTGGACTTTGGGGGCTTACAGTACCAGGTGTTCCCAAGCGGTCCCCCATCTAAGTACTGACCTGGCTCTACGCTGCTTAACTTCGGTGATCGTACGAGAACCGGTGTTTCAGCGTGATTTGACCGTATTTTGCTATGTAGCGAGGAGTAACCACAACGCGTGTCCAATCTAGGATGATCCTGTACCGACGTAAAACGTGATAAATAACTTTTAGTTTGCCAACTGCAGGGCATGTATGACCGTTTAAAAATGTTTAAAAATGGCTTCAAAATGAATGAATCCTCTAGGTCTTAAATAAGACGATTCTTTCAGATCTTATAGAAATATAAAAAATACATACATAAGCAGAAAGAAACAAAAACAAAACCCAAAAAAACAAACAAACAAAAAAAACATTGAAGACTTCCAGTAGCGGCAACGAAGTAAATGGATAGCACGTGTATCTAGAATGGACACTAATGATAAGATATTGATTTTCCCTACCGTCTTAAAAGTTTAGGAAGAAAACTCACATCTCTACTAGAAAGGTCGATAACAGCGGACTTGAGAAGCCCATTTTCCCGTAAAAAAAGTATCTTAAGTAAAAGATTTTATGAATTTTATTCGACAGCAGAAAGAAAACTACAAGAACTCCTATAGAGGGTAGTGAAGGATAGCGAGAAGAAAGGACTGAACATCAATTGCAAGAAAACCGATGAATGGTTGCTAGCAAAAGGGACAGCCTAACATGAAAATTACAAACTGGGGATATCAAAATCAAACCGGTGCAAAAATTTAGGTATCTGGGAAGCGTATTAACGGAGAACGGAAAGTGTAACACTGAACTCTGAAGGCGCATAGCGATAGCTTAGGAAAATTTGTAAGAAGCAGAAAAATTTCGTTTGAGATAAAGAAAAGAATGCGTACTATTAGTCCTCCTATATTGCACTGAATGCTGGACAATCTCGTCACAGATGAAGAAGAGACTTGAAACAACAGAAATGTCTTTTTACAAACAGATACCACGAATACTATGGACCGAACATGTGAGCAACGGCAAAATTCTAGAGACAATGGCAAAAAAGGACACTTCTACCTAACATTAGTAATGACAGTTGAAGTTTCTAGGGCATATAATGGGGAAAGTGGTCTTGGTTTAGGCTTGGTTTGTTTTACGGGATATCAACCTCAATGGGTTATTTAATGTCGACAAGATTTTTATTGCTGGTAATATTTTTTATCTATGTATCTCAATATATATTGGTTTGGTTTGTTTTGTTTTACGGCATATCAACCTCAACGGGTTATTTAATGTCGACAAGATTTGTATGGCTGATAATATTTTTTATCTATGTATCTCAATATATATTGGTTTGGTTTGGTTTGTTTTACGGCATATCAACCTCAACGGGTTATTTAATGTCGACAAGATTTGTATGGCTGATAATATTTTTTATCTATGTATCTCAATATATATTGGTTTGGTTTGTTTTGTTTTACGGCATATCAACCTCAACGGGTTATTTCATACTGACAAAATTTTTATTGCTGGTAATATTTTTTTTTCAAAAACGTATTTCTGGTAATATTTTTTCTTCAAAAAATCTGTTGCTGGTAATATCTTTTCTTTCTTTTTTCCAAAAATGTATTGCTGGTAATCATTTTTTTACAAAGTATTTCTGGTATTAAAATCTATTTTTACACTTTCATAGTGTTTTGACTCCAGTTTGGAGGTTAACTATTTGTCCATAACTGGGACCCTAACAGGTGCTACCACACCGGGTCAGAGTGGACCTGGGAATATCAACAATTAAGAGATGGTTCCATGCTCCTCAAAACCTCCTGATCAGAGGCCTTGCTGTCGGACGTAGTTTATCGTCTTACCCAGGACGCGGATGTAGTTTATTGTCTTACCCAGGACGCGAATGTAATCTGAGTGTTAACTATTTATCCATAGCTGGGACCCTAACAGGTGCTACCACCCCGGGTCAAGGTGAACCTGAGAACATCAGCAATTAAGAGGTGGTTCCATGCTCCTCAAAACCTCCAGATCTGAGGCCCTGCTATCGGACTTAGTTTGTCCTCATACCCAGGGCACAGATGTAGTTTATCGTCATACCCAGAACGTGAAAGTGGGTTTGAAATATTTGATACTAACAGAACAGATTGGACGTAGGCGAGAATGAGGAAAGAAACGCATAACCTACCTGGCAAGTTTGGGTGACTGGATGGCGAAGCAGCGTTTTGGAGAGGTAGTAAAAAGATAAATATTAAGAACAAAAAAGGACAGGAAATTGTGTCGAGCCATAATCGGCAGCACCCTGAAAGGAAAACGGTACTTAGAAGAAAAAGAACGCTAACATTAACTGTCCGTCCACCACGTAATTTTAGTTTATAGATAAACTAAGGTCGGATTTATATGTGTCAATTATACATGAGTCTGCAGGCGAGCACGTATTGAGGAATCGGAGAGCCGAGTTCGAATCCATTACATTCACTTACGTGCTAATACTCTTGGGAAAGGTATGGGTCCT